CAAACTCTCATCTGAGTCATCCCTGGAACTTAGCGGGTCCTTACGGTGGTTTCCGGGAGGGTAAGACCATGTGAGTCACCGCGCACCTTCGCTTGCGCTGACGTCATCGCGCTGCTATGCTGCGCGCGTCTTGTTATGATATCTAGCTGCCAAATAGGACTCGTGAATATATTTAAACTGTATGTGTATGTAATATCAATATTTAAATTATGTTTTATTTATTTATTTTACTTTAATTATAACGGACACACCAATTACAATAATTAAAGATACATTACTAACACAACAACTTAATAAACACAACAAGATTAAGTACCATTCAAGCATCGCCTTCACAATAGCGTAGGCATCTTAACAATAACAGTGTCCATCCATCCGCAAACAAGTCGCATTCAGGGTTGGTGGCGAGGAGATATGTTAGCGTGTTTGTCATAAAACGTAGATTGATGACCGCAAAGTATTCTTTTGAAGAACAATGTTAGTTAGGCAAAAACTCGTTACCGACGGTGCATGACCACGCCGACAGTGGAGGTCGCCGAGGCGGCGGCACGGGGACCTCTCACGTACGTGTGGTGACGTGACGACCCATTGTTTTGCCGGCAACAATCCGGCGCGTCTTATCGCCGCACACTAGAGGATGTTTTGTAACGTGGCAGCTGGCGGGGGCCCACCATGTACCGTCTCGGAGGACAGTGGCGTAGCCTAAACCTAATATTGTTATACAGATTACACGGTTACTGCATTCAATATATAACTTAATTGAAATCTGCTTGTTTCTCTGTGAAACTATGAAAGAGACTTTTTACTAATTTAAGTTTTTTTAAATGTATCAAACAATATAAGAAACCGAAGCGGACTCTGAATGGCTGTCACGTAACGGAAAAGAGCGCAGCCATTTTCGTATGCGCCATTTTTCAAATGGCGCATACGAAATGACTGCGCTAAAGACTGACTGTGATTGAAGACGTGACTTCGACTTATTTTTTCCATCCTCTAAGCTAAGACGTGTCTTTTTATGTTTGACATCTGCGGCTGTATTTGATGCAAGCTCTTAAAGGATTCCTTGCAGCTCGCGGGAGCGAGAGTTGTCTATTGAGTGAGCTATTTCGCGTTGCGTGCGCGAGTATGGGTTCGTGTCTCGTGACGAATCGATCGTAACTCAATTAGGCTCTCGCACGAACGTGCACATTCGCTAATCCGATTCGCCACAGCGAAATGTTAAAGAGCTCTTGCGCTGTGATGTATGCAACCAAACAATTGTAAATAATCCTATGATTATTAAATTACGAAATCTGTAGTTTCCCGACACCCACACTGAAACTTGAGCTGTCCGTGGCCACCCACTATTTGACCAACAATGTTTTGCATACAACAATTAAATTACCTTTTGTTTGTTTATGCTTTGCATTCGTAACGCGTGTTAGTTGGTTACTTTTGGGTACGTATATTGGAATGGGAAGTAGGTGTCTGAAATTTAGTTTAAAGGGACATTTTCGCAGCATGTTTACTAACTGTAACATGGGTTTGAGGTTGACAATAATAGTCACAGTGTACCAGATTTCTTATCGGGATAACACTATGAAAGTCTTCGCGATACATTATCGGATTAGGCTAGAATAATAGCACAGAGCCGGGGGCGGGGCGGAGGGGCGGCGAGAGAATCTTGGTACAGTAACTAGGTTAGAGCCCTGCAGCGGCGGCGCCGCCTGGTAGCTAAAGAGCGCTCTGTAGAGTTAGCGGCTCTCGCCACCCGATCGCCTGGAGAGCCGTTACAATTATCTCCCAACCGATGAGATCGGCGGCCTGGCGACAAAGTTCCAATTGCTACGAGTAATTGTAGGCATTGATAGACGACGTTCTGGAAACATGGGCGCCGCCGCTCTAACTGTACGTTACTTACTATACCGAAAAATTTCGAGGAATATGCGGCCTTCCGTCTACAACACAAAATGTATTTCGCGTCTAAGAGGCTCAAGATTTTGGTTGGCAGTAAGCAATTGCAACCATCCGTCTTTTTCTTAATGTACATTTTAGATAATCTAAATTATTGTATATTACGCGTAGAGAAAAAAACAGTCGTAGCCTTTTAAACGTATACCTACTAATTGTTATGATACTGTACGACATTATCATTATTGTTATAACTTTTATCAAAATTGTTATAATTCGTGTGGATAAATTTCAAGGGACTTTAGTTAAAATTGGCACCCACTTCATTTCCATTCCATTTATAACCGACACAAAAACGGAACGAACGGAGGTTCTTAATTTGACTGTATTTTATTTTTCTATGTACACGTTCCGCGCTTACTCCGGCCAGATTTGTGAACCGATTTTGATGATTCTCCTTTTTTGTTGCAAAGAGGGTACCTCAGTATTGGTCCCATTTGCATTTTTGTACAAAACATTCCACCTCTGAGGGTGGCAAACCAGGGGATCAATCCGGTTTTGCGCATTTTCTGTTTTAATTTCAGTTTGTATGTAACATATAAGTAAATTTGAAGTCGGTTCCTTTTTTTAATAAAAATTAGTTTATCCATTTCGATTCCTTTGTCGACAAAGCCGACGGACCCACTTGTTCGTTGTACTAAACTGGACCCCATTTCCATATCAATTGTTTTGGCTGGATCACTTTTACACGGCACCGTGTACCTGGGTAGGCATCGATACTAGCAAATTGGTAGGTGCCCAGCGGTAGCAAATTTCCTAGCCCCGAATCCAAAAACTATACTGTTGTTAAAAAATGAATGAAACGCTAAAAATAATTTTAAACGCTATTATCTTTATGGCACCTGTGAAGTAACCCCATAAAAAGTGAAACATTACCCTTACCCAAGAATGTACTACATCCGCGTAACGGGGTTGCTACATTCAAAAAGCGTTCGCTTCCGTTATCACCAACGGGTAAAAGTGAATGCCGTAACAGTAAGTAATTAATAATTTCACACTGCAGCCGCCGGTGAATTGATTACATAATAATGTATTAGATTCTTCGTTAGTTATTTACTACTTGTATTTCAATATAATAAATCCGTACGTGGGGATAAATGAGCGCATGAATGTTGATGCTTTGCTGAAAATTTTGCAATTTCTGCTTGTTGAAAAATGAACCGTACCTTGAGATACTTAGTCTGGACTTATCATCCAACCTCAACGTTGGGCGATACATCGAGTGCTTGGCAAAAAACTTGCTGCCAGAAAACTTGGCATACTTTACAAGGTCAGGCGGTACTTCACATCTGAACAGCTTTTAAATCTGTATAAAGCACAAGTTCGATCCTGTATGGAGTACTGCTGCCACCTTTGGGACGGCTCTGCCCAATACCAGTTAGCTGCTTTGGACTCTGTGGAGCGAAAAGCAAAGAGACTTATTAACAATAATTTTCTTGTGGAGTCCAAGCTTCAAAATTTCGACCATCGCAGAAAAGTAGCCCGCTTGTCGGTTTGCTATTGGATACATTTCGGGGAGTGTGCGCAGGAACTTTTCAATTTGGTTCCGTCTTCACCGTACCTCCTTCGGTCGACTAGAAGGTCCGGAGCACTCCATTCTTATGTCGTTGATATTCCACCTATTCGCACTAAGCGCTTTGCTTCCTTCTTTCTGATGCGTACGGCAAAGGAATGGAGTGCTCTATCTGTATTTCCCGAAAAGTACACTTTGGGGCTATTCAAGGCTAGAGTGAATACGCATTTTGTAGGCAAATGCGTCCCATCATCGGTCACATCGTCGCTTAACATCAGGTGAGATTGTAGCCAAGCGTGTGTCTATTATATATTAAAAAAAAAATACGTCGTCGTCATGTTAACGTGTCTTTGTGTAGCTGAGTGTACAAGTGAATAGACCCTCATTTCGTATCTCGTTAGTGCTGTTGAAATTTTTTATAATATTATTTACTTATTTTCATTTTTATACCAACTTTGAAAGGGTGTGATAAGGCGCCAAATAAAAAACCGATTAACCAAAGCGAGCTCTAATTAATTCTTTCATTTTTATTTTTCATTACAATTTAATTTTGTATTTTTTTTCCAAATAATCCTATTTTGCCCTTTCGAGACCTTTGTGTTGGGGCTAAATATCTTACAAAGCTATTCCGCTGCTCACCAGGTGTCAAGGCTCTCTGCACCTGCATGCACCGTGTTTACACCCCCCCCAGCCCCCGCGCCCCTTTCGCCACTGAAGCCTTGTTTGCAATCTGAGACGTCAGTTGCACACGGCAACCAGCCAATCGATATGCTCGCTACATCTATAAATAAGGATAGATTTCACGTACACTTTTCGCAGCGTACTGGTAATGGGTGATTCTGTTCGTTAACATTTTGTAGCCCGTACGATATCTTATTTTTCATTTCCTAAACTCTCGAATCTATTCGCAAACAGTGGCACACAAAAAGCACGCAAGTGATTTATTCTACTTTTGTAACGTAGCTATAAATTTTAATTATGAAATGATTAATTTTTCTATGACAGATAGATAATAGATAAGAAAAATTACGACCGTTATGCACTACTAATAATAACCACCAAGGCGGAAACGTGTCATGACACGCCGGCTGCGGCCGTCAAGTACGCGTGCGGCAAATTCGGTCTTTGGACCTTCAACTTCGCGGTTCACTGACTCCTGCCCCATGACGTTAGCGCAGTGGAAGTATTGCCTGTGGCTGCTTCCCATGCAAGATAAACAAATCTAAGGGTCGTATTCCAGAACTCTACTCAATGCTCAAGTCAGGATTTGAGCAGACTTAGTATGATTTCAAGCATTGGAAATACGACCCTAATGGCAAGGACTTGAGTATGATTTTCAGTGCTTTAAATCATACTCAAATCCTGACTTGAGCATTGAGTAGAGTTCTAGAATACGACCCTAAGTTACCGTCAAGTTTTACCTTTAGAAGAACAATAAACTCTAGTACGGTTGAATAGAATGTTCAAGTAGCGCAAATCAATTTACTGGCCCATATGCGAGAACCAAATGTGTGACTTATTTATATATTTGTTGCAGCATGTTGCCTGGCGGCGGCGGCGTGGGCAGCACTGGCAGCAGGCGCACAGGCCTCGGGTCCGCTCGGTCCCTCCGACCGGCCCGAGGCCTACTTCAACGGCAGTTCCTTCATCCGCATCAACCGCCCCATCTCGCTCAAACAGCTCGTCGGACTGAGCTTCCGCACCTGTGTCGGTGAGGGAAAATTCTTTCTCACTTGCTTTGTACAACTCCCACTTAATTTATGATTTCTAATCACTGACCGGTGGCCATAGTTCATCTCGCATTCAAGTATTGAATTTCGTTGAATGCCATTTCTATGATTTATTTGCAAGCATACAATTTGCCTTTTAGAAAATCGTTTGGGATACCAACTACAAACAAATTGGTTGTTCGAGAGGGCCATCTCCGGTGTCGCGCTGAGTCACGACCTTCTTTAGCATGAAATGTGGTGGGGAAATAAGAATGTGCGGCGCTGCAGCCGCACACTGCCTAAAAAATTCGACGCATTGTATTTCGAAGTCAAGTGACACGGACGTTTCGTACTGGGCAACCGTGGTTGCCGCCGATTACCTTTGCGTCGCACATCAATCACGTTCGCGAGAACAATTTGTGTAAAAAGTCGTTATATTGCGACGACCATCACGTTAAATGTTTTCGCGCGATCACAACGCGTGCACACGTTTCGTCGCCGATTCTGCACGAGCATACAAACCGGCGCAGGTTGTTTATGACGAGAGTGCTCACGGTCATGAGTCATGATAATGAAATAAATTGTATATTAATTTTTATCTTTTTTTTTCTCATTTAACAAACGTTGTTATGGGATTGAGGTACAATTTCGTTTCTTAGCTCGTATGCTGTAACAATACATCTATGGGATTTTGGCTAACTTAAGTAGCTATAGAAGTTTCAGTTTAAGTTAGATAGTATGAGTATTGGTCGTCGGTCAATTCGCAAGTACGTAACTTGATGCATATGTGAGTATGCATGACTATGCGTGTCCGCCCCCGGCGCGGTGCGGCTTTTGTGACAGTGGCGTCGCGACGACCGGTTCTTCGGTTATAAGTATTTATTAGTATCTTTCACTACGTATAGTCCGTTTACTGCATCTTTAATCTCCTCTAGAAAAAATAGTTCGGTTCTCACAGTTCAAATTCTAAATTATCTGCAAATTTCACACGGTCTGTGAGAATTCCCATCATACCATTGTGTAGTTTTTATTCATACAGAACTAAATAAACGGGACACATAAATTTTTGAAGCCCGCAAATAATTATGTTTTTCTTATGATATTTCACATACGTTTCGAGCGTGTGTTGGTCGGCACCGACGGTGACGCCAGTAGTAACCAACAGCGATTATTTCTCTGATGAACGCATAGATATAAAAAAAGGAAAAAAGGGGAGATATATAATGACGCTATGTAAGATCGGGTGCCGATGTCGCCACTTTTTAGCTTGTGTGCAATTCAAACTTTACGCTCTATTATTGATTGGGTAGGGCTTAAAACGTGAAAACGACGTTAAACAATTTTAAAATTTAACAAGATTAAACTTACAGTCACTTGAATAAGAGTTATATTACAATATTTCAGTATTTTTTTCATCCTGGTATCGCCTTTCACCAATAGGTGGTGTTTTAGTAAAAATACTACTAGTATATAATAGCTAACTATTACACGTTATAAGGCGCTGAAACTCATTTTTCGTTACATTCAGAACTCACGGAGCGGTTTTCCCCCTCATCTGCCGCGGGACCGCGGCGTCTGTTGAATGTAATAGTTAAGTACATTGACCTACCAATAAATGGACGTCGGGTTCGCGCTAAAAAGTGTCCGCAACTGTAGGGCGTTAAAATCGCATACAGAGCGTCAATTGCGCAATAGTCTTCGTTTGTTCGAATGACAGCGCGGTTGTCAATCATGCAGTACCAATAAATGCACTATAAATAATAACTTCTAAAAATTACTGCAGTAAATTGTGAAAACAGGATTTTGTATCATATTTTCACTAAACAAATATATTGTGTTATCTATAATATACTATATAATATTATATGTGTTATAGTTGTCATTTAAAAGTGTTATTTTGTACAGTTTTATAGTATTTAATTTATATATAACTGAATCGTGAATATAAACGAAATAATGAAATAGCTAACTGCCCTTTTTCTACTCATTGCATGCGCAAAACATGGAAAGAGACTCATTACGTCAGTTTCAAGAAGCTTATATATAAACTTCTTGGTCATTTTCAATTGTTCGAACCACAAGCAATTGAAATATTTAGAACAAAGAAACCGTAGAGTAGCTTTGATTTTAACCCTATTTTTAAAATGATTTTTTTTATTAAACGTTAGCAATAACTGACAAAATATTGTTGTACTCGTTTTACGGCTTGGGATTACCTATCAGAAGTCAGAAAATACATTTGCCCGAAATAACATTTGCTCGAATTTTCATAATGCGTTTTTACGAAGATTACAAAACAAAAGCTAATTCTGTCAATGTAAAAAGCATCAAAATTACTCGAAAGCGTAACGCTTTTGTTATAAATCGGAATTACAGATATTTGAGTTTACGTTTAGTTAGAATATCGGTACATTTCTTATAGTACACGCTTATTTTCACATTTGTAGTAATAATTGTATGTATGTATCGGCCCGACTCTTTATTATAACCTTTAAGTGAATTTGTACACAATTCGACATAATAATATATATAAAAAAATTAATTAATATTTACGAGAAAGGCTATTCCATTACTCTTGTGTTCAAGTAATTTTCAGTCGAAGCTAAATATGGTGCATTTTGTTAAGTTTCCAGTAGAAGCTGAATATGGTGTTTTTGAGCCCTTAAGTTGTTGTAAGCAAATTTATGCAGTACTGCAAGGACGTTACAATTTAAATTAAATGTTTTAGTTTTTTATATTTCGTTATATATCGCTACGTTTGTATAGGTTACCCTCGGACATTTTTTTCGTGGTTTTTGTATTAGACCCGATGTCCATTTGTTGGTACGACAATGGTTAAGTATGTAAAATTAGTAGCACGTTTCACGGCGCGTTTTACGCCTGTAGTGGTGACGGTTGCTCGCGGTTGCCGCGGCGGGGTACTAGTAGAACCGCGCAAGTCGCGATTACCTGCGCGCTAGGCGGCTGTCGTCGCCCGCGCACTTTAGTGGTCGGTTCAGGAGCAATGTGGTGCAGGCGCACGCAGGGTGAGTTCTCTATTAACCGCGCGACTTGCGGTTAACTCCCACTAACTTCGCGGTCCGTTCCGCAATCGCAACGGTTTCGTGTCCGCAACTACGGCGGCTACGTGTCCGCACAAACTTGCAAGATCGTGAGTATTGAAATAAAACCGCTGTCTAACAGAACCGGCGGGCGCGGATGGAAACCGCTCTGTGAATTGTTAACATTATTAACCTTAAACTGACGCTACTCAACGAGGGATGTGGTCCTACGTAATCGGTAGAAATCATATGGCCATGTGGCATTTAATATTAAAAAAATATTCCATTTTTCATACTATATCTACACTGGTACTGGTGTATTATTATTAATATAAATTATTATTGTTTTCCCAATGGCGACCACTAGGCTTGGGCCAGTGGCAGTTTTATAAGAATAATATAAAAAATATGGCGATCGTCGCCAGTGTCAGTTTTCCATTATACGTTACCACGGGTTGGTGAAGCTGTTTCTATCAAGAGTAAACTCAAACCATCAACGAATTTAATTAATTAAATTATGTTGTTTTTTTTATGAAGTATTTATGTAGTTTTCTATAATTGTTTCTAATTTATTTTGCATGCACATGTAAAATAAAACCGATTTTATTTTATTTCTTTTTTAAATTCATTTGCTATGGAAATTTAAACAAAGTCAGAAGTAATAACAACAAAACCAATCTTTCGATTTTCCTGCAGCTTCAATCCGACCTCTCTTTATTTTATTTTGGACTTATTGGAAAAACTTAATAATTAAAAATACTCTACGTTTAATCTACGAGTATAATGGAATTTAAATATCTAAATTATCTAAAACAATAAGACACATACATACAGGCAGGGTGGAGGCGGCTAGTGCAGTGAGGATTCCATCGCTGCACTAGGTTCCTTCGCGTTTGGATACCACTTTCCACTTAACATCAGGTGGAGTGGAGTCATTTGCCTGTCAGGTATATAAAAAAAAAAAAAAAACATTTTTTGTTTCAAGCAACAGCAACTTACGGATTGACAATGAAATTGAAACGATTGTCCGAAATCTGAGTTGAGTTAAAGCTACTCGAAATAAAATGTTTAGTAATAATAATAAATTAAAAGAAATCAATTTAACGGAATGCTTTTCGCTTCGATATTTTAGGGACTTTCATTACAAAAGTCATAGTAAGAAATTCAAACATTTCAGTAAAAATTTATTGTCGATAAACATCAGTCATCGTAAATGAACATCACTATATTTGAGCCTAGAAATTTCTATGGAGACAAAAAGAAAACATTGAATTATAATAGTAATTGAATATGCAAATAGCCGGTGGAATGTTATCTCACTGGTTTTAAAATTTTCGTTTTCACTCCCAATTTTTTCAAAGGTGTATCGGTACAACTTGACATTTTCACGTTTTACGAGAAATCTTGTATGTACAACGATCGCCATGTCACTGTGGCGATGTTTGTAGGCGTGTCACCTCGATATGATCATTTTGGTCATATCGAGGCGACACGAACCACGCCCCAATACCAAATCTCCCCTTTTTTCTACATCTATGGATGAACGCGATTATCAATCATGCGCTTGTATTTAAGTGACTGGGGCTGAGTAACCGTTTGTTTGCAGTTGAAGTGCGAGGGTACACTCATTACCACATGACATTGCTACTCATGTATTGCATGTATTCAAGCGCGTTTGTTTCATTCATCGGCAGCAGCGCCTGCGTCTGTGCCGGCGGTACTGCAGCCCGCACTGAGTGGGTAACAAACATGTTTTGCGTAGACGCCAGTGTGTGATCGCATCTCGCTCGCTGTCCATGCTCGCTCTGGCATTTCGTTGTTGCCGCTATGTTTACTACCAACTAACCGCTCTTTCAATCAATCGATCACATTGAATATTCTACTACTGCCATTAATGATGGTATTCCAGCCTTTCTGTCACATCATGCGCATTTTAATAACAAACTCTAATCTGCGCCTAGTTGTATACAGCTCACTCCGTATTGTTCAGTAGCAACTTTCTATTCCCTCTGCACCCAGTTTCGTTCTAACTCTGTTCCACGACACGAGTGCAGCGATAAAGCAGCTAAAGTAGAGCAACATAACGAGTTGAAAGCGTAAATGTACCTACTACAAGACAGAAAATCGTAAATCTCTAAGAATTATCACAAGTTTCTTCTATTAATTTTAATTATATATTTAAAGATTCTCGTATAAGAACTTTCTAATTAATACACAGTCTTCCTAACTGTTGTGTGACGTTAATTAGGCTTTACGTTTTTGTGAACGCGTTATTCATTGATTAATTTTAACTATATTCAATCACAGCGATGATCCGAGAGTTCCACACTCTTCCGCACCCACGCCGTCGCGTGGCGCATACCGCTTGCGGAACGAGGCATTATTTGTCAACACGCACCTCACTCTTCTTTATTGTCAATCTTACTTCGAGTGTACACCAGTATAGTGTAGTGGTAGGAATAGGCACCGCGCGCGACAGGAATCATTGGTTAAGTAATAACAGCATAAAAGACAATTCATTACATTGTTCTCCGTAATATTTGTAGTAAAAAACGCAATGTAAAAAAAATAGCTGTGCAGCTGTCATTTTCCGGCTAAGCTCGGCAACGCAATGGACTGTTGTGGCGCGCGCGGTGCGTCGAATATCCGAAGCTAACCATGTGCTTACTCGTGGTTATGTCACTTAAACTTGACAGATATACACAAGTGGGCACGTCACTATTGCGGCAGTGTTACTACGTGCGTAGTAATAAGACATCAATGTGTTAATTACGCTACCAAATAGACGTAATTAACAAGAGTGTCGGGTATCGGCAGGTGGGGGTCTATTCACGCAACGGTTCGAGGGGTACACGTTGCACGTAACCGCGCTGTTCGAGCAAGTGGTGGTGTCATGGGCGCGACCGGGGCAACCGCTGCGGGAGGTGGGATTGCCCAAGGAGACCCTCGACAACCGCTGGCACTGGGTTGCGCTGCGCTACCGCCCCAGCCCGCCCAGTCTGCTGCTAGAGGTTGACCGCGACACACAGGTAAGAATTGCATGAAACTTGTGGAAATGATCCTAAGGAGAACGGGGCAGTTCCCGAACTTTCCATATGTGTACGTGTGCCCGCCTCACTTAGGTGATCTCAAACGTAACGTGGAACCCGGAGCTGCTTTCACCCGGCGCACTTGAAGCGGGCGGCGCGGTGGTGCTGGTGGGCAACGTATTCAGCGGCTGTCTGCACGAGGGGCCGCAGCTCGAATTCCACGCACACCACGCGCAGCTGCACAACGTGCTTTTCGGGCATTGCCCCCTCGCCACCGATGACTGTGAGTCCTACTGCTTTCACATTTTTACCTTTGAAAAAGGTGGTTGTGCATTTAGTTCGGTGTTCTTTCTCTCAAAACTGAAGTGATGAAATATCAACTAAAGTGCCGTCTGCTTACTTTCAACAAGGTTAGACGCTGCGAGTAACGATTCGCCTTTTGTAGCTTACAGTTCAAGCCAGACATTATAAACAAATATCCAATGACTTTGTCAACAATGGTTTTGTTCAAGCACAAGCAAAGATTGTCTGTGACTAATTTGCCATTATCAGTGAACAATTGACGTTACTCGAAAAGTGAGACAGACAAAGTATTCATATTGCCAAATATCTGAAATGTTGTATGAAACATTGTTGTCTATTCCTGTTCATGTGATATCTAGTGTCTAATAGAATGAATGATCCGGCAGGCAAAGACCGCAAGGACGTGTTACGCGAGCCGCCCAAAGACTATTGCTACAACGAGCCTTGCATGCGCCACGGGACCTGTATATCACGGCATGACAGGTGAATTAGTTGGTCTCGTTTTTATGTGCCAGCGTTCGCTTGTTCCCGACTTGATGCATTTAGTCGAATGCCGTGCAGGTACGAGTGCCACTGCACGGCGCGGTACACTGGCAACAACTGCGAGGTGGACGCGGGAGACCCGTGCCGCTCGGCGCCCTGCCAGCACGCCGGCCGCTGCGTCGAGGACTCGCGCGGCGACTACACCTGCGTCTGCACGCCCGATTATCACGGTACGCGCGAATCGGCGTCAGAAAGGAAATCGCGTACAGTACTGCTTGTAACGAATGAAACATATGGCAGTTTCACATTTTAACAGTACCCACAAGTGTCTGACCTCAATAGTGTGCGACTGCAAAACGAATTGTTCGAGTGCCGGACACGTGACAGTAAACTTAGTTAAAGACCGATACAAACGGGGCGTTCGTTTCAGGGACTTATTGCGAGCTAGAAGTGTCGTTAGATCCACTGTGCGAGGGAACTCCCAACGGACCTTGCCAAAATAACGGAAGCTGTAGTGTGCTGCCCGGTGCCGACACTTACGTCTGTACTTGCCCTCCTGGTAATTGATCTTTTTGTTAATTACTACTATTAGGTGTAGGTGTGCTAAGCTATAAGCTATAATTTGTCCGCTTTTTGTAGGGTACACGGGTCGCAACTGCGAGACGGACGTGGACGAGTGCGCAGGCGCGGCGGGCGCGTGTCTCAACGGCGGCCGATGCGTAGACGCAATCAACAACTTCACCTGCGACTGCGCCGGCACAGGTGAATATTTTTCTGCCGCCGCTGCACTCGACGCGGTCGGTCGAGGGCCGCGGCGCCGGGTCCGCCAATGACGCGGTCGTGTTGTCGCGGCGCAGGCTACGCGGGCGCGCGGTGCGAGGTGAACGTCAACGAGTGCGAGGAGGACCGGGCCGTGTGCGGCCACGGCGTGTGCTACGACACGTACGGCGGCTTCGTGTGCGCCTGCCAGCCCGGCTACACCGGCGAGCGGTGCCACAAGGTGAGGCGGCGGGGCGCGGGCGGGGCGCGGGCGGGGGTTGCGGGCGCGGCTGACCCGGCGACTGCGCAGATGTCGGCGTGCGCCATGGGCCCGTGCGGCGTGGGCGGCGCCTGCGTGGAGGAGGCGGGCGGCGGCGGCTTCCGCTGCGTGTGCGCCAAGGGCTGGGCGCCGCCGCTGTGCGCCGCGCCGCTGGCGTCGAGCACGCCGCACCCGCCGCACGCCGCGCACGCGCACGCGCACGCCGGCCACGCCGCCTCGTGCGCCGACCTGGCCTGCCCGCCGCACGCGCACTGCAGAGACAGCGGTGGGTGCCCCTCGACGGCTCGGCGCCGCCGGCCCCGGCGCAGTGCACTCACTCCCTTCTCGCTGCAGGCGTGCCCAGCATGGTGGCCGGCGTGGTGATCTCGAAGCAAGTCGCGTGCGTCTGCGACCCCGGATACTACGGTACGTACCGCGCGACCCGCGCCGGCCGCGCCCTCCCTCCGGGGCGCGGCGCGGCTACAGCGTGCGCTGCGCAGGCGCTCCCGGCCCGGCCCCGAACTGCAGCACGCTGGAGAACGCGTGCGAGGCCGGCGTGTGCCTCAACGGCGCCAGCTGCTCGCTCGCCAACGACCGCTTCAACTGCACCTGCGCGCCGGGGTACAAAGGTACGCTCCGTCCGCGCGGCGCCCCGTCGGACTCTCACTCTTTAATGCGTCTAACCCTCCGCGTGAATGTGGTTTTTGTTTGCCGCGAAACGTGCCACCGTTGTACCATTTGTGCTCCGCTCTGTGTCCGTCCTTCCGCGCACGCCCGGGACTCGGGCTCTGCCGCAGCCCGAGTCCCCCGCCTGCAGCCGTGGCCTCGGCAGGCGTGTACTGCGAGACGAGCGGCGCGCCGCTGGCCGCCGGCAAGGCGCTGGGCGAGCTGAAGGCGCCCGCCGCGGAGCGCTGCGCCGCCGGCCCCTGCCGGAACGCCAAGGCCTGCCACGACCTCGTGAGTACTGGCCGCCCGTGCTGCGCTTTGCTGTGCTTCTTTGCTTTGTCGTCCCGGCTGTCCGTTGTGGTGACTCGAATGATTATGTCGTACCCCGAGAACCGTTTGTAACGCGGTTTGTGTCGCACGTAACGCGCCGCTTTCGGCAGCCGACGGGATTCCGCTGCGAGTGCGAGAGCGGCTGGGGCGGCGCGCGCTGCGACGTGCCGCTGCCGGCGGCCGCGCCGGCGGCGGCCGACTGCGCGGCGCGGCCGTGCCTCAACGGCGGCTCGTGCCGCGACGCGCCCGACGGGCCCGTCTGCGACTGCCGCCCGGGCTTCGCCGGCGCCTCCTGCGACCAGCCCGCCGACTGCCGCGCCGCCGGCTGTCCGCCGCACCAGGTGAGCGCAGCCCCCGGCTCCCCCGGAGTCGACGCCGGCGCTGGCCCTGACGTCCGACCGTCGTCCAGGAATGCACCGAAGGCGGCGGCGTGTGGGTGTGCGCGGCGGCCGGGGCGGAGTCGGCCTGCTCCTCGTCCCCGTGCCACAACGGCACCTGCCTCGCGCTCGACTCCGGCCTCTTTCGCTGCCAGTGCCCCGCCGGTTTCAGCGGTCAGTGCCCCGTGTTGTGTCCGTTCCTTAATCTCTTGATTTGCAGTTTTTAGTTACCGTTACAGATTACGTTACCGACACTACGACCGAGTTGTAAATCCGATAGTTGTGATGCCGCTAGGTAAGGTCAGGATAAATTAATTCTGTATAAAATTTCACGTAAATACATTTTCTTTAAATAACCTTTTCTTTACATATGTGCGCCAGACTATCACTAACAGTGAATTACTGTATGTTTTCATAAATTTAATTGAGGTTAGTAGTGCAAGTTAATCTAGGTGATACCTAAACCAATTAATATTGTTTACTTGTATCTGCGGCATCCAAATACGTGATTATAGCATAATGATTAGTCAACATATTGTTCAATAACATACATTTCAATAAAACATGAATACTTATTAGTTACATTAACTAGCATCTTAACTTAGATAATTGTTCATTGGATTTATATTATACATAGTGAACAAAAAGCTATCCAGAAAGCAAAGCAATCAATCTATTTCAGTAGCTTTCCACTGGCGACATGTCTAAATTGTTGAAAATATAAATAAATTTTCATACTCTAGCCGCAAGGTTTCAATATGGGGCTTGAAGTTCAAATACCTGTCTCGTGTGATGCTTAAATATTTCATTCATACAGGTACTTTCTGGCGAGCCAAAACAGTTTTGCATTAATATTGAATATGAATTTAAAGTCGGTTGGGAGAGTGAGTTATAGGAAAAGTCATGTATTTTGTTTTATCAATGTTAAGGGTCAATAAGTTTTTTCTAAACCATTTATTGACAGCGTCGAAACCCACTTGGGATAATATGAATGTGTTATGTCAGGTGGAACAGGTGTTAAACCTAATTAATATAAGTTCAAAGACAAGTATCAATGGATTGTTTTTATTCACTGCACAAGTATCACTAACATAAGGTACCGCTAATCATTTTCTGCATACGCTTTTCCTACCATGTAGGCGGGCGATTCGCGCAAACGTTTTCCCTTTAGGTTGATGGCGAAAGGTAGCACCGACGGGCGCCTCGCGTGCACGCCGCGCCCTTCCGGCGTCCACGCGGCCACTTGGCACTTGCTTCCCCGCTTGGCTGTCACCGACACCCACCCTATTGACGAGAGAACAATATCGCCTGAACATTTTTTGGGACCTTCTCCCACAAATTCCACCACATTCTGATATTTCTGCAAACCTGGCCAATTCTTCAGTCTTTCTTCACCCCCTGTAGGCACAGCGAACAACTCGGTGCCTACAAACTTCTCATACACCTCGTCGGCATCCTCAGTCTTTGTGACCGTTATAGGCAGACATTCCGAACAAAATATGGTAAACCTGCATGGTTCTGTGCTGTTAATAAAATCTATTCTGGCCAATCCCCCAATGAAGAATGTCTGGCCTTTGCTTAAATAATAAGTCTGTGGCTTAATCGGTTGTTTTGGAATGGTTAATAGTAATTCCTCAGTACTCAGCAATGACAGGACTTGGTCAGGATGAATGAGTCCCGGAGTGTCGTAGAACCATTTGCTGTGAGCAAACAGTTCATGTTTATCGTCCAACACCATTAAATTTCGCTGTTTACCTCTGTCCACAGTCTCTTCATAATAATCTCTGTTGTCAGAAAAAGTCCTTCCAATGCGACCTATCAAAGCTGGGGGCTGAACAGGTTCATTGCCCAACAGTTGACTTCTTCGAATTTCCTTTTCCATCTTCATAAGTTTAGCTTCTGATTTCAATCTGCGTGTTCTTTGATAAATCTTCCACCCAGATGGGCGGTTGATGGGGAATTTGAGTAGGTTGAGTGTGGTGCCGGGCCATTGACTAACTGTTGCTCTTTTGACAATATCTACAGCATGGACTTTGCAGTAATCAGATTGCAGCAGAGCATTGAACAGAGAGCTCTTACCAACATTGGTGCAACCAACTAAGAAAACGTCTCCTTTGTAGAGCCAGTGTTTGAACATGGCTGAGATAAGGTCCTCGACTCCATACCCAGTTTTAGCTGAGATGAGAGATACAGTTTTAATGTTTGCTTCTCCTAGCTTCGTTTTGTTTATTTCTGTCATCAGAGATTCTTTGATGCGCTTTATGTAACCAATGCTGTCTCCCGGTAATAGATCCACCTGTAAACACCCCATACCATTTTATTTTACTTAAGAAAAACAAATATAATTAATTATTATAATTATTAGTAAAAAGTTAACCTTATTTCCAACAATAATGATGGGTCTATCTGTGCCAATAATGTCAATGATGCCAGGCCATATGGAGCAAGGAAAATCTAAGAGATCTATCATCAGCACCACCAAAGATTTGACATATCTGAAACCATTTAAGACATTGTAATGACCATGTTTTTAGATTTTCGCGATTGATATTCATTGCCAAAGGGAACTATTTCTTTTCAATTCTAAATCAATCAAATAAACCAAAGTTTTGGGCTCTTTACGGTGTCATGATCAGCTGTGATCTTGAAAAAATAAACATGCAATTTAGACCCAAAAAAAATGGTTTCATTTTCCAACATTGTAATTATTGTGATTGTAATCTGTACAAATACATAATTTGTTGAACATTAACTTACTTAATGGACTGCAGTAGTTTCTCATACTCTTCGGGCTGCACGCGGACATCTAGAGCAATATTATATTCTTTGAGAAAATGGCACCTTTGGCATTCCAATGTCTTCAATTCAGTGTCATTTCTGCCTCTCATTATTTCACTAGGCAGATAGCCTGGGATAGCTGGGTCACTGCAATGCAGCAGGGCTCCACATCCCCCACAGGGCACCCGGCTTACGCCACTGTTAGGATCAGGAGTCCCATAGTAGCTTGAATGCTCACTGTTTACCCTGGTTTCATCATCACCATCTGTTTCATAATCACTCTGATGGAGCTTTGTGTCATCGAAATAATCATAGTTGGTCATCCACTGATCAATGCTTGAGCGATCAAATTCATTGTTACTTTTATAAGATATTTGGGTTTCAGGTGACTTTGTCTTATTTTCATTGATTTCCACCTGTGTAGGCTTAGCAAATGGTAACTGGAATACCTTCTCAGGCTCGCTCACCTTATCTTCAGTTTCCTCTTGTAACAACCTATTTTTGTCAACATAAAACTGCAGCGATAATGGCAACGGCGGTAATCTTTTATCCTCCAACTGCTTATTCAGAGTTTTCTGAGCTCGTTTAACAGTTTTGAGGTAATACTTGAAGTAACCTAGTTCCAATTTTTCGTGCTCCAGGTACGAACTAAACGAGATTTTATCTTTGTGATTTTGGAGTAAAGTACTGAAATCTTTGTTTTCCAGTGGTTTCTCTTCGATTTTCTTGATTTCGTTGGTGTTCGTCACTGGCGGGCGGTTATAACGCTTGTTTTGCAACACCCCTGTTGTACGACATAACCTCAAAATGTTATGTACCTGGTACATTGTTCTCTATGACTCACACACTTTTTACAAATATCACGTCATCTGAACGTCAAAGAACTTAAATTCACGTTGGTGATAATCATAAAATGTTAACATTTTCATTTATATAATTGCATTTTAACGAGCCAAGCCATTGCCAAATCCATTTGTTATGACAGGTAAATGTTTTTTTTTTGTTTTTTTTTTATTAAGGCTTTGGCAAAGCCATCAGCCTAAACATGAAGTTTAATTACATATGTTTCTGTAATTATATGGCCGCCACAAAGAGGATGGTAGGCAATTTGAGGCGGCGTGCTTGGATTGACTCGGGATTCCTTAAAACGGGCCGATACGGGTATTTTAGTTCGAGATTCGTATAATTTCGCGTTTTAATCTTCGATTAAGGCACAATAGCAATATCCTATTCCACTTTAAACTAGATTTCACAAAATAATTGAAAGTCAAAATAAAAACGACACTTTTCCCTCCAAAAGTTCCAGAGCGAATCCCCACAGGTAAATGTCATTGAGTAACGCAATTTTTTTTAATTAGGATTTTTGGCTTGGATACAAGTTCTTTGAGCCAAGATTGGATACAAGTTTTTTCAGTTTCCGAGATCCTTATTGAATAGTTTCTATTGTGTTTTTAATATACTTGTAGAATGGCAAAAATAACTTTGGGTTTTTTAAATAGTCTTTTAAATGGCGGTAGTATGATTCATGTTTTCACTTTCATTTAAATTACTTAGTTCACTTGCTAATAAAAGACTTTGAATTTTGAACACGGCTTAGCACGTAGTTCTTTTTGTATTCTTCCATGCCATTTGCCTTTTATATCTTGATCCTTCTTCCAGAAATGTTTTCATGATGTTGTTATATCAATGCTTAAATCCGTTTAACAATTGTAATCTTAATAGAAAATTTTAAATTTGAAAACTTTTAGCGTCCTTTCACTTCAAATTCCCACCAAAAAAAAAATTAAGTAACACATCATGTCTTCGTTTAATTATCGGGATCCTCATTATATTTTCCGTTGGGCGTTCTACATTGCGTTTTCACTTTCTCTTAAATAACTTAGTTCTCTTGTTTGGGCTTTCTAAATAGTCTTTTCAGCGGCGGGAGTCAATGTTTATAATTTAACTTTCACTCATATCACATTATTGTCACTTTGAACAAAAACTTTGAATTCGTAAAATTTGAATTTTTTTTGTAATTTACTTTAACACAAGGAATGTAGTTCCAACTTTCTTCATCACTATTTTCTTTCTTCGTATTTTCTTCATAGTATATTTAAAATAAAAGCATTGTTTATGAAAACTGTATTTGTAACTTCAAAAGCCCCAAGTAACTCTTAAATATTCGACGACCGCAGTGCTGTACCCGAACCGGTAATTTTTAACTTTCTTGATATTGTTCAATTAAAATACCGGTTTTAGTTGCAGTTCATGATTTAAACAATTATAAGTAGGCTTTGTACTTTAATAATTTTCAAATTAATGAGTTTTATGAATTCGCGCTAATTAGTGACATTATCTCTGTCCATTAAATTGAAAGGTCATCATTGTATTCAAGTCGCGTCGCGAGGAAATACGACGTACACAGCTCGATTTCATTTTCGCGCGCGGCGCCAACGGAATAATACACTTGTGTAAACTCGTGCCGTGAAATAATGTGACTAATTTTCTTATGCAATTACACTATTATTTTGTATAAAGAAAACGTAACATAAATATTTAGCACAAAAATGCTTGGCCTAATAAACAAAGTGCTTGTTATTTGGATGTTTTTGTATAAAGGTGTGGTATATATTTTAAAATATAGCAGCTCGATGTGGCGTACATTGTATGTAGGATTTGCTTTTAGGTCGGTTCTGCGAACTCGACATGGACGAATGTGTGCTTATGCCAAAAATATGCAACCAAGGCGTCTGCGTCAACGTGCCTGGGTCCTACCAATGCTACTGCAAACCAGGTGACCCGGGATACTTTTTTATTCTTAAAATACCGTAATTGAAACGTTGATTGAATCTGTAACCGTGTCGCGTGTTGTCGTGTGCGAGCAGGCTACACGGGCGACAGCTGCGAGCAGGACATCGACGAGTGCTTGTCGTCGCCGTGCAAAAACGGCGGCACCTGCCAGAATTTGGAGAACAACTACGAGTGCACTTGCATGGAGGGCTTTACCGGTCGGTGCGCCGTCATTATCGCACAACGTGCAATTACGTTGCGCGCGGGCACGCCCACCGACGAGGTAATGATCGGTTTTATGGCGCAGGAAAGGACTGTTCGATCAACATCAACGAGTGCGAGACGAACCCGTGCGCGGCGGGCTCGACGTGTGTCGACGGCATCGCCAGCTTCTCGTGCGTCTGCCGGGAGGGCCTCACCGGCGCCAAGTGCGAGATCGACATCGACGACTGCGAGGTGAGTTTCCGCACTACTTTACGGCATTTAACATGAAGTAATAAAATCGGCCTTAGTCTCCTCGGAGCGCGTGCCGATTGCTAATGCCCGAAGTCGGTCCTCGCAGTCGCAGCCGTGCCGGCACGGCGGGCGCTGCGTGGACGCGCTCAACGGCTACACGTGCGACTGCGCCGGCACGGGCTTCGCGGGCGAGGACTGCTCCGTGAACATCGACGAGTGCGCCTCCGCGCCCTGCCGCCACGGCGGGACCTGCGTCGACGACGTCAACGACTACCGCTGCAGCTGCTACGCCGGGTACACCGGTACGTCGGCAGTCGTTTAGTACGCTTCTTAGCTCCGACGGACTCCTCACGATGCGCCCCCCGTGCAGGTAAGAACTGCGAAGTGGACACCGACGAGTGCGAGAGCTCGCCGTGCAAGTACGACGGCGTGTGCCTGCAGCGCAGCAACGTGTCGCTGTACCGCGCGGCGGACGCGCCGCCGCTGCAGGTCGGGCCGCAGCCGCAGATGCTGCTGCCGCCCGTCTTCTACCAGCCCTTCTCGCTCGAGAACGCCAGCGGGTGAGTGTTTGGGGCGGCGGAGGGCGGAGGGCGGGGGCGGGGGCGGGGGAGTGCTGACGCGTCGCGTGTGCAGGTTCGAGTGCGTGTGCGTGGCGGGCACGCTGGGCGCGCGCTGCGAGGTGAACGTGGACGAGTGCGCGTCGGCGCCGTGCGGCCACGGCAAGTGCGTGGACGGCATCGGCGGCTACGACTGCGAGTGCCTGCCCGGCTACGAGGGCGAGCACTGCGAGGTGGAGATCGACGAGTGCCAGCGCTACGCGCCGTGCGCCCACGGCCGCTGCTTCGACGGCCGCGCCTCCTACTACTGCGCCTGCGAGCCGGGCTGGGGCGGCCGCAACTGCAGCGTCGTGCTCACCGGCTGCCGCGGCGCGCCGTGCCGCAACAACGGCACCTGCCTGCCGTGGCTGCAGGACGAGACGCGCCACCGCTTCAACTGCTCCTGCGCGCCCGGCCACTACGGCACCACCTGCGAGAAGGTGCGCGCCCGCCCCGCCCCGCCCCGCCCCCGCCCGCCCCCGCCGCTGTCGTACGACGCCGCTCCGTGGTTGCAGATCACCACGATGTCCCTGGAGAAGAGCAGCTACGCGGAGGTGAACACGTCTCGCGAGGAGGGCTACGACATCTCCTTCCGGTTCAAGACGACGCTGGGCTCGGGCTTGCTGGCCATGGGCCGCGGCCTCACATACTTCTTTCTCGAGCTGTCCAACGGCCGCCTGAACTTGCACTCCAGCCTGCTCAACAAGTGGGAGGGGGTCTTTATCGGCTCCAACTTGAACGACTCCAATTGGCAGAAGGTGATATGTCCCAGTCCTTGGTCTGTTTAGTTAGCTCGCGCAAAATGCGCCTTTCTGCGCCGTACGGGGATGTGCCGCGAAATAAAAATCAAGAAGCGACTTCGGCCTCGATTACTATCAAAACTAATGTAAACACTTTGAGATCTTTATAATGAATAATCGTAGTTTCTAATTTATAAAGATGTAACAACCTCGAGACTGTTAATAGAGTTTAAATTTTACTCTGTTGGCGTATTGTTAAAAGTTCAATACCTGTTATTGAAAATTACGGCGTTTTCATTTACATATTTGTAATTGAAATTTTAAATTAATGTGCTAGCATCTGGCGGTCAATATCTGAACGACGACGAATTCGACGTTTACTTACTTCCCCGATAGATGTCATATTGCAGCAATAAAAAATTATTACGATAACTGAAATATTGAAATTAAATATCATAAGATTTAACGATGGTACGAATCTTTTCTACGATTTTGAGGTTAACATACAAAACAACAATGGCGGACTGAGCTCGTGTACGTGGAACTCCACGCGTTGACAGGCGTGTCACGCCACCTAAGCACTTCTGCTGTTCTTATTGTTCCGCGTGGTGCGTCCGAATACGTCCCGTTCGCTAACGTCCTTGTTTTTTCGCGCCTCGCAGGTGTTCGTGACGATAAATTCTTCGCACTTGGTGCTGGCGGCGAACGAGGAGCAGACCATCTACCCGATCAGCCAGAACGAGGCGTACAACTCGTCGGTGACGTCGTTCCCCGTGACGCGCCTCGGCACCGCCGGCTCCTCCTTCGCCACGCTCACGCACGGGCCCAACTTCTTCGTGGGGTGCTTCCAGGACGTCGTCGTCAACAACCAGTGGGTGGGTGGTCGTCGGGGGCGCGCCGGCCCGCGCTCGAGCGGCCTCTGACGCG